AAAACACAGACGGACGTTTGGGAAAGCAAACCAAAAAAAAAAAAAAGAATCCGTGCCGGCGTGGGTTGTGGTGAGAAGGAAATCCGTGTTCGTCCTTAAAAAACGGCTTTTATTAGAGGAATGCACGCCAGTTAATGCAACAGGCGTTTGTTTGCAGGTATTGTATCTGCAAGCGAAATACAATATTTCAGTCACTCTTCTTGCTCCGTCTCTTCACTCATTTCTTTCCTTTCACCAGTACACTCGGTCGATGTTAACACCCAGTTATTGTGCGAGCACTGAATTGCATAAGCTCTTCAAATCAGACTCCTAAACTGGCCTAATGAGTTTTTCTGGCCAGATGCCCCTTTTTGTGCTTCTTGCGTAAGTGATTCACGTAGCTTGCTATGTTGTTGATGTTTTGCTGATGTCTTTGGTACTGGATTTATGGTGAGCTTAAGTTATAAGATGTGTAAAATCTTAAATCTTTGCATACAAGGAGGATTAGTGACTAGATAGCCTGCTGTACATAGGCAAACCATGGAGGGATGTTCTTGCAGCTTTTCAAGGTGAAAACCAGTTAGACACTTCATTTTGCTCTTACAGAGAGCAGTCAGAACTAGAATTTTGCCCTTCCTGTCCATTCCCACTGTTTAGGCCTTACCACCGTACCCTTTTGGTCTGTCATCTAATGAGTAGGGTAGGAGTCCCATAGCTTGATTGTTCTTTTGCCCTCTAGACCTGTGTTTTAAGGGGCTGCATGTAGTGTTAGTTGGTACTGACTGTGCTGATTGATATTCATAACTTCAATATTTTAGGCATTTAAAGATACTGGCAAAGCACCTGTGGAACAAGAAGTAGCCATTCATCGAATTAGAATTACTTTGACAAGTCGCAATGTAAAATCACTTGAGAAGGGTGAGTGACGCTTTTTTTTTTTTTTTAATGGGGGTAGTAATGAATGATGCAAGGTATAATGTGTTGAGATCAGTGCCAATTAGTATTTGCCTGTTTGCATTGGAGTTGGCTAGCAAAGCCAACCCACAGGTTTTCCTATGCTGACCAGTAGGTTCCAATTTTATTTTGAGTAGAAACTAGCGTTTGGGGCGTTTTATTATACTGGAAAACTTCATGTCATGACTGCTGACTTAAGAGAGTGCACCTTCTGCCCTTTATTTCTTGTGGGGGTTTTAAATGTTAATGTTTTAATGTACAAAACCAGAAAAACACAATTTCTTAATTTAAATTGTCATTCTTGTTATGAAGAGTTTAGTTTATGATTTTAGTGTTCTTTAAGCTGTTGTTTAAACTTGCTTAGGAACTGGCTATGCCAGTATTTTAACTATACATTGTAAATGTTATAGAATCCTTGCTTGATGAAGGATCTTCAGGCTGATAAAGTTCAAATATAACTTGAACTTGTAGTAATGGCTTTGCCTAGTGTTACAAAATGATTTTGTAAGCCATGGGGTAACTTTTCCACTGATACATAGTTGGCTATGAGGATAACTCTTGAACATGAATTGCTGTGATCATTTTATACGCTATTCTGAGCCAACGCTTCCTCTGAAATCTTCTTTGCTTAGAAGCAAAACAAAACTACTCATGACTCTGAATCTCTGTTTTACGTTTTTTAGTCTGTGCCGACTTGATCAGAGGTGCTAAGGAAAAAAACCTAAAGGTGAAAGGACCTGTTCGCATGCCCACCAAGGTACTTCAGCTCTCAAGAAGATGGGAAAAGCATGTTGTTTTTCTGTATATGAACACTTCGAACATCTAAGAAAAATGTTGGGATGAAAAGCAGTATTACTAAATGGAGGGTGACGTAGTATAGGCAGATCACAAATGAACAAATTTCTTTGATGCTTGGGAAAACTAGTGCAAAAAATGTTGAAAGCAAAAGAAGTTTAAGGACAAAAAGCTTCTTTTAATGTTGTGTTTTTTTTTTTTTTAAATTAAATTGGGTGCAGATGGGGGGGGTTAAGAATGAACATCAGTGGAATATCTCTTTAACACGTAACTCTCCAAAGACACTATAGACAACATAGTATTTTTAGGTGGACTGATTGTAGACAGTCTTCTGTATACATCAGCTTAATACTCCCCGTTTATGACTTTGTTTCAGACTCTGCGAATCACTACCAGGAAGACACCTTGTGGTGAAGGTTCTAAGACCTGGGATCGTTTCCAAATGCGTATCCATAAGCGACTCATTGACTTGCACAGCCCTTCTGAGATTGTCAAGCAGATCACTTCCATCAGCATTGAACCAGGTGTAGAGGTCGAAGTTACTATTGCCGATGCCTAAATGATGGTCATCTACTTTTAATAAAGTTGATTTACAAATTTTTTTCACTGTCTTTTTTTATATTTGTGCAAGAGTCTTGGGTAGTCCTGTGGTGATTTTCATGAAGTACAACTGATACAATGAAAATGCTGTGCAGAAGGACTATACTTTGTTGATCTTTAAAGAATACTTCAGTTGTAAACATGAGGAAGATGAAACCTGGGCATCATAGTTTCATTAGAGGTTGGTGATTGCACAGATATGAGTACATAAACATAGGCAGCTCTTAAATTATGGAAAAATTATTTTTAATACGGGATTTAACTTTGATTGAAACTTCAGTCTATACCCAGACAAGCAATAGCATTAAAATCGATGATTAGGTAAACTACAAAGTTTTGAATTCTTAGTTTTTGCTATGCAAGGCTGAACTAACACTTAGCTTGCCTTTGGGGTTTCTTTTGAGCTTTTCACAGTCAACAGATCCTGAGGATGTTAGTTATAAAACTACATTTGCAGTGAACATGTTGAATTTAGCAAGTTCTTTCTGTAGGCTTGCATGCAGAATCACAATCAAAACTGAACTGTGGAACTCTAGTTCTCTTTCTAGGTTTCGATCTCCATAGATTGAACCATTAAAGGAAATGTAAAAGATGCACTAACTTCATATGTAAAGTAACCAAACAGCTATTTTCTTGGCTGCTACTTAAGGCTCTCAAGGGGGGCTTTGTTTGTTTGTTTGTTTTGGGGGGGGGTTTGTTCCTTGAAGGAACTATGATTAATTCTTAAACTTGCAAGAGGTAAGCCCTGAAATAAGTGAAAGATTACTGTTTCATTTCATGCATAAAGATGAGGGTGCCATCGTAGCTTCTGCTCCGAGCACAGGAGAGAACTTGAATTCTAATTCAGCAAGTAAAAGAAACAAGGAAACCTGCGTTTGTGTGAAGATTGAAATTCGATTCGCGTTATCTGAGACCTGAAAAGGTTGCCAAACCTTGAGCTTCCTTCCTGAAGGGTATTCAAGAATCTCATCTGCCCACCTACCTTAATTTTATTGAAATCTTAGAAGGATTCTATCACTCGGGTTAGCAGGTTCAGAAACTTTTCAGGAAGGGAGAGGAGAGACAGTCACGTTACACACTGAGATCACAGTGAGTCTGATTCCTTGGGAAACAGCTAAAAACAACTGTTCTCTCAAAAGAATTGTGAGAATGGAGAAAGTATCTGTTTTCCTAAAGGTCAGTTTCTGGTCATATGTTATAGGTAAGCGCTGCCTGATAAATATTTCCAGTTTTCATTTCAAAACTACTTTATAGGGTGTTCTGAAAAGCATATTAAAAATAAGACTTTGTTGTGAACACAAGTCAGACTGATTGAAAGAGGATAAGCTGGGGCAGACAAGTAATACACTAAAAGTGCTACCCGCTGAGGCTGGCTGACCTTTGTATGTGATAAGCTATTAACTTTCACGCAGATCGTCTTCCCTGTGCTTGTTTAACCCAGTAACTTTCTGACCTAAAGCACTAGCCCAGAAATGAATGCGAGACTTCGCTTCTGCCTTAGATGAGCTTTTCTGTTGGTCAATAACTATTACTATTAATTAGCTTTCTGTCAGCTCACAGGCTGCTGTATCTCAGAGTTAATTTCTGCCCTTGAACATACCCAAATGACTTAGTCCCATTTATGTTCTCTGGGTAGCCTGGGCTCTTCAAAAGCAGTTCTCTGTAGTCTTTGAGTGTCTGGGGTTTTCTCTTGTCCTCTGCCTCCAACTTACTTGTAAAAACAGGAATGCTCAGCTTTACTTTGCACTCTTATTCGCGCGTTTCAAAAATAAAGCCAACTTCCTACTCTCCTAATGTATATGGTCACCACACAGGTTTTTTCCTCTTTGCCAGACAAGCTGTTAGGGAGTTTGTGTCCGTTTGCTTGTTCAATGATTTAAGGTGATGGGCCGTATGCTCTGTTTTAAAGTTACTTCACCGGGGAAATCGGTCCCTTCTTTCTGTGGACACCAGCTAGTAGGTACATAGTTTGCTTAAATTGTCCGGATCGTACTGGCATTATAACCAGAATATTATGAATATTATTAAATTGCAACGATTGTAATGTGAACATTTTGTGATTTTTTTTTTTAAATACAAAACTGCTACCTAGTGTCGAAATAGTTACACAACAGTCATCATAACTTTATATAACTTCTGGTGGAAATATTTAGATATCTGCTTCCTCCTCCCCTCCTCCCCCCCCCCAAAAAAATGTTCCGGCATGTCTGTGGCCTTCCAGAGGCTCTTGCCTCTTGTGCCAAGCTGCCGAGATATGGTAGCGCACCGCTCCCCGTGCAGCTCTGGCTCTA